TTTTTTTTTTTTTTTTTTTTTTTTTTTTTTTTTTTTTTTTTTTTTTTTTGGTTTTTTTTTTTTTTTTTTTTTTTTTTTCGCGGTTCCGACGGCCCTGCCACCAGAAGGACCCCACTGGAAATAAGCCTTCTTCTAGACTTTCGTGGGCTATCCTTTACACCGAATAAATCCAATCCAATCCCATCCCATCATTTGAATATTTAGAGTTGCTACAGTAGTGGCAGGTGACAGATTTAATACTAGAATTAGAGGAAGAATTTAATAGTGGAATGGGCTATGATGTTTATGAATTAAAAGACATGACATGAAATTGAAACACTGAAAAGAGGACGTAACTAAGACATGGGTATCGAAGTAGAGTTTCCAATAAGATGTGAACAAAATAAGAGAAATTTGGGAAGATATGTATGTATATTATAAAATATACAGTATGTTATCAGAATGTATGAAGATATTTTAAGTCAAGAAAGAAAACCATTGTCCAATGCTTCATATAAATTAAAAACAGATGGCTTGATGCAAAATGAAAGAAAAATGGGAAGATATGTTGATCAAATCTTAAGTCCCTAAACTAATGTTTAGTCTCAGTCTATATAGTAGTGATTGTTACCATAGTGAGGACACTGTATTTTTCTATACCACTGTTTCATAATTTGTTTAATCATAAATGTATGTGGAATTATTTTGAGATGTATTATAACTGAATTTTATCTTATGATATTAATAACATTATTACATTTTAATTTTTGATTATACATTAAAGTGTGCGTAGAAATGGTTGTTATGGTAATGACGTTTTGTTCTACAAACCACTGCATAAATTTCCAAAATTATTTTATATGGAAATTAAAAACCATATTGAGATGCAATACATGAAATTATATTTGAAATTGATTATTAATGTTCTCCTATGATATTTAAGTTTTATATATTTTAGTGGTAATGATTCACTGTAGGTCTGATAAAATGAAATAAATATTAATAAACATTTAATAAACATTTTTCATTAAACTTACAAGTTTTCATTAAGTTTGCTAGCAATGGTTGCTATGGTGATTACCTATTTTTAACATTATTATCTACTCCTTTTTTTAAACAAAGACCGTGTGTTATTTTAAAAAATGTAAAGCCAAATAAACAGAAATTCTAGTTACTTTTATTCATTGCTATGGCGATAACTATCAATATTGTATTCACATTAAGATGTTATCTTTCATTTATGTTATCTTACAATATTAGTATTTACTAAACATCTCTCACGAAACCTTTAAATATATTAATAAATTTCAGGCTTTCATTTTAATAATTTACCAAAAAATAGGATATTTCAATTAGCAACCGTTGCTATGGTGATGACCTTGCTTTAATACTAAATTGTGTTATCTTAGGATATTTAATAAACATTTTTTCATAAATCCTATACTAATTTATATACTTTAAGTCTTCATTATATAATTATTTTATGAAAAAATAAGAAATTCAAATTTGCATAGCAACAGTTGCTATGGTGATGACCTTGTATTTTATACATCAATGTGTTAACTTTGTTCAATAAGAGATGTTTATTATATAAATA